GGGGGGGGAGGGGCTGCGGGGTTGCGTCTACGTAGTGTCGCGTGGAAGGGTAGAAAAGAACATGGCAGACAAGACACAAATGTAGTCTTTGTTTTTTTTTTGGCTCCGTGTTTTGGAGATACACTTCTACATCTGGTGACGTAGTGCGGTGTATCACTGCTGTGCTGAGAGAATCTCGCATCATTTAATATTAATGTTTTGTAGTGTTGAAGAAATGCTGTGTATCCTCCATTTCACAATAAAAACACTAGCAAGAAGGTATTTTTTGAATCATAATCATTCTACTCATAAGAGGTATCTATGTACAAAGGCTAAAGCCGAAAACGCCATGTCCAATATAAAGGTATCGTAAGGTATACAAAAGTACAAAAGGTAGTCGAGTCAGTGGCAAAGTCTTCACCACCAGTCACCCTGGTCGTGCATGGCAGCAGCGACCTTGCGGAAACCAGCAACGTTGGCACCACCGACAAGGGATGGGAACTCGCCGTCGGCAGGGGTGAAGTACTCCTTTGCGGTGCTGAGACAGTTCTCGAAGCAGTCCTTCATGATCCCCTTGAGCTTCTCGTCAACCTCCTCGGCGGTCCAGGACAGGCGCTGAGAGTTCTGGGCCATCTCGAGACCAGAGACTGCGACACCGCCGGCGTTGGCAGCCTTTCCGGGAGCGTACCAGATGGCGCTACCCTTGTGCTCGCGACGGTGAGCCTCGAAGACTTCGATAGCCTCTTGTGTGCAGCCCATGTTGGAGCCTTCGGCGATGAACTTGGCGCCGGACTCGATGAGTGCCTTGGCCTCGTCCTCGGAGACCTCGTTCTGGGTCGCTGATGGAAGAGCAACGTCGACCTTCTTGACCTCCTTCCATGGGCGAGCACCCTCTACGTACCTGTAGCTGTGGTTCTCGAGGGCAGTGAGTGCCTTGCGCTCCAGCTTGAGTGCGGCAATCTGGTTGATGACATCTGGGGTGAAGCCCTTGTCGTCGTCGGCGATCAAAGCACCCTTGCTGTCACTGAGGGAGATGACAGTACCACCAAGCTCAATAACTTTGAGGGCAGCAAACTGGGCAACGTTTCCGGAACCGGAGATGGCAACGCGCTTGCCGGCGAATGACTCCTTTCCGCCCGAGGCGTAGTTGATCATGTGCTCGACATAGTAGACGAGACCGTAGCCAGTGGCCTCGGGACGGATCAATGAACCTCCCCATGAGCCTCCCTTGCCGGTAAGGACACCCTCCCAGCGGTTGCGCTCCGCTCGGTATGCGCCAAAGAGGTAGCCAATCTCGCGGCCTCCTACGCCGATATCGCCCGCAGGAACGTCGGTGTCGGCACCTGTAAATTTACGTAAGTCAAATGTTCCATTGGGGTACCAAGAGGACAGCGAACGTCGCCGACAGATAAACTAGAGTAGACGGGAAGATAGGCAAGACTGATCTGCGGGTCTCTGAATGGCGTGCAGTCGGAATGCAGGCATGCGAGGCCGTTGCGGGTGCATGCCCCACCGGGGGGAAATGTCAAAGACGCGCTAGGGGTGTGGACTTACCAATGTGCTTGTTGAGCTCCCTCATGAAGGCAACACAGAACTTGCGGATCTCGTTGTCGGACTTGCCCTTGGGGTCAAAGTCGCAACCTCCCTTGCCACCGCCCATGTTGACTACGGAAGAATGTTAGTTATGCACAAAGTAGGATGGGTTGGGGTAGATGACGTACGTCCAGTGAGGGCATTCTTGAAGATTTGCTCAAAGCCCAAGAACTTGAGGATAGACAGGTTGACAGTGGGGTGGAAGCGGAGACCGCCCTTGTAGGGACCAAGTGCAGAGTTGAATTGCACGCGGTAACCCTTCTGGACCTGGCACTCGCCCTTGTCGTTCTCCCAGACGACGCGGAACTGGATGATGCGCTCGGGGATGGAGACTACCTCGAGGGCCTTCTTGTACTCGGGGTTCTTGGTGAAGAGGGAAGAGGCCTCGAGGGTGGAGACGAGCTCTATGGGAGAGGGTTAGTAGTGCTGGGGCAATGGGTAGATGGCAATGTCAAGCCGCGGACATACCCTTCCTGGCCTGCTCAAACTCGGGCTCAGACATGATGAAGTGGGAGTCGAGTGTCTTGGTGGATAAGTGTCTGGGCAAGAAGATTGACCGAGTTGGAGTGTGAGAAGTTGCTGTGAAGAGGCAGGAGCAGAAGTTCAGTGGTATATATAATAGCAGTCTCCGTGGGCTGGAGGGTTGGCCGCTGGCGGGAGGGCATTGCGACGACGGTAGCGGAGCAAAATGGTAGTCGAATTCAGTACGTCACAGGCCGTGCGATTGGGCGGCGGGGAGGCGCTGAATGGTCGCGGGCAGGCTACTATGCGCCATGTTGATGCAAACCGTGGTGTACACTTTTTGCACTGATAAGCAACGGGCCAATGGGCGGGCAAGGCCGTGTATCGCGGCGCGTTTGCACGTGTAGCAGGCGGGATGCGGGCACTTCAGGCTGGTGGCGGCGCTGTAATTGCACACAGTCAAGGCTGTCTATCCATGGGGCGCGAGGGATGCCGACGTCGGCGCGGAGGGCGGGTTACGTTGAGGTTTTGCTAGTCGCTTGTCAGGCCAGAGGATAAGGCGGCGAGGGCGGGCGCCGCCGCGAGCATGTGGGCTGGGGGCTGTACGTACTAGGTGCAACCCATGCATCCCGTGCCCGACGTGCACGCACACGCACATGCACACGCACACGCACACGCGACACCCTGACTTGTTTAGCAGTGGTAACGGTAGTATTGCGTGTCTTTGGAGATGAATGCTCGACCTCGACTATTGTTGCATTGCACGGCTTGCGTCGACTTGTGCTCTATTAGTAGGTAGTTTGCGCGAGTAGTAATGGCGAAAAATGGACTGGAGCGTCTTCACCTCTTCACTGTAGTACACACATCTCATGCAATTCCATAATATCAAATTTGCCCATGTCCGCTCGTAGTTTGTATGTAAACGCATGTATGTACATTGTACCACAACACGCCCATCCTCCACGGCTTGGCTACCCAAACCCCCACGCACGCACGCGACCTGACCACCTCCACGCTCAAGGGCAGTCGGTAGGGTCCCAGTCTGGAAGTGGAAGAAAAAACATTTGTTAGTAAAAGCTACAAAACCATAGCGTGCAGCCACGTGAGTAACGTACCAGTCACCAAGTACTCGTCCAGAGCATCCATCGCCTCGACGTCGGCAGCCTCAATCTCGAAGCCCCCAACCTGAGCATTCTCAATCATGCGCTCCTTCTTGACGCTCTTGGGCAGCGCAACATAGCCGTGCTGGAGACTCCAGCGGACCAGCAGCTGGGCAGGGGTGCAGGAATACTTGTTGGCGAGAGACACAATGGTCGGATGCTTCATCCGCAGGGCGCGAACAAGTGGGGCATATGCCTCGACGACAATATTGTGCTGCTGGCAAAACGAGCTAATGTCCTTGCGGGTATTGAAGGGATGGACTTCAATCTGGTTGACCGCGGGAGCAATCCTCGGCTTCGAGTCGAGCAGCTCTTGCAACTAGAGTCGGCCGCTGGTCAGCAAACAACAAAAACCTCTCTACAAAGCAAGCAGCTGACTTCGGCGAAGTCGGGCGCCCAAGGGCTGCAATGACTCGTTTCTGCGCAATTCAATAATTGAAAAGCCATTGCACAGATTGCCTCTTCAGGCCCGGTGTTCGCGCCAAGGCCGCGAGAGGTACGGGACTTCCCGACCGAGGAGGAGTGAAGTAAAGGCCCGCCCATCATCCATCATGGCCGCCAGGGTCCAGGGTCAGAACTACTCACATGCTTTACGCCATAGTTGGACACGCCTCCAATCCTGACCTCGCCATCGTCGATTGCGTCCTCGACGGCTCGCCAGCTGTCCAGCCGTGCCTGCTTGCCGCCATACGGGGAGTGCAGCAGGAAAAGGTCAATGTAGCCCAGCCCCGCTTCCTTGACCGATCTCTTGATGGCTTTGCGAGCCGTTTCATACGCAGAATTGGACGCGAGCTTGGACGTGAAGTGGATATCCTCGCGCTTGAGCGAGTGCACATTTGCCTCGCTCTCAAGAAAATCACTAATGGCCTTGCCCGTCTCGCGCTCGTTGTGGTACATCTGCGCCGAGTCGACCCTGTTGCACGCGTCATCCACGATCCGTTTTGGGGCGAGAGCCAGACTGCTCCTCCGTGATGCCCTACCCTCGATATCCCGCCTTGGTGTTGTAAGCATGCTGTGCACTAGCCACGGGGAATATTACCACGCGGATTGCTTGCTTACCTCTAGCGCCCACCGCACGGCTTGATACGTTTCCTTGCCGGACGTCAAATACACTCCCAGTTGGATGGTGGGCATGGACAATCCATTGGAAAGCTGCATGGATCAGAGATGGGTGCCATCTTGTGTAACCGCATACTGCGCACCTTTGTCCGCGAAGCTAATGAAAACGACGACTGAGCCATTGCCAATGCGGTCGGTAGTGTCTCGGATCCAAATTTATTGTTGTGAAGCTGCAAAGGGCCAGCCAAGAGGGCGAGGAATGGATGTCTGCGGCATCACGGATCTGCTCGGTGAGGTGCTGGTTACATCATGGCCCGCTTTGTGGCCGGGGTTGCTGAACCATCGCGATCGCGATCGCAGCCCACGGCCAGGGGTTCGACATGTCACACGCACGTGCCAAGTTACCCTTCACCTTTATTGTTCGCGTCGTCTGTATACGCTAGCTTTGTATGTGTATACACATGTACATCTACCTTCATGCATAACGCCGACGGCCGCTTTCTCCGTGCCTGGCTTCTTACGCCTGGCGCCTATATGTTACACAGCATGACCATGGCAGCCTCACATCTGGTTAAAAAAAGAGCCTAGACCCTATAGGATCGGCGAGCATCTTCCTGTTGGGCAACCTTCCTGGAGGGTTACCACGGCCCTGGAATGAATGCAAGCCAGCGCACTGGTGGCCGCATTCTATTGTGGCTTTTCCGCTTACATGTGCATCCGTCACACAACCCATTGCCATGGTTCACTCTCCCGCGATTGACGACCCCAAGATACGACCAAACCCCCGTTTACGATTTGGGGGCAAGCATCCATTGCGATTCAATGTGCATGGATCTCTTCGGCCTTTGCCGCCTGGATCTAGCCTCGTTCACCATCCTCTCCCCGGACCCAGAGACATGCATGGTACATCATAACCTTTGCGGCTACAAGGAAACAGAACGAGCGGTTGCAGCCATAGGCCAGAGCGCGGGACGGGAACAGCCAACGACATGGCAGAGAATCCATGTCCGTATGTAAGCAAGTATGGAGGGGCAGGGTTGACGATTCGCCCGCCCGCGTACAGTGGTTTAGCATAGACTGGTTTGGCAGGGGCGTCAACCATGCGCGAACCCGCGAACGCATAGCCACCATGCTGGGCTCCACACCAGAAGACATGTTAGAGCCGAGGCGCCTCGACTGGATCACCGCCGGGATTATTCTAAAATTGCTTCCATCTCAATAAGGCTGGGATGGTCGTCTCGAGGCAAAAGCTGGCGGCCGTGACCGAAGCCACAGCTCCATACCACCAGGTACTAGATGGGAGCCTCATGGCCGCAAATACTCACCCTCTCGCCAATATAAAGTATCTTGTAGCGCTCCACTTCTCAGCTCCTCTTTCAATTCCCACCCCACCGCCACTATCCCATCCATCTTGCATCCTCCTCGACCCGACAGTATTCGTCCAGCGGCACTGACCTCATCTGCCACCAGGTCGTTTCGTCATTGATCTTATTTGCTCACCACAATCTTGCCCTTGGACTCTGAGACCCTGCCCTTTCTTTTCTTTTTTCCCTTCCCCCTCCCGCGTTGGTATTTTATAAAAAAAAATTCCCCGACCAAACCTGCCAATAGAGCTTGTGAAATTCCACTTCTGCGGCAAGCAGCTCGGTAAGTCGCAAAGCTTGCGTGCTTTCTCTCTCTCTCTCAAAAACACTCTTAGTCCTCTATCTTTCCGTCTCTCTCTCTCTCTCTCCCAACTCCCTCAACTTAAGCACGTACACAACCCCCCTCCCCTCTTTACTATCTGCACCGGAAGAAAAACCCGACCAACCAAAAATCACAGCAACCCAGAATCAACCGAGACCGACGACCTTTTTCAGCCGTTCCTGCAGTAGTAGCGCTCGCCATGGCAAGCCTACCCGGCTTTACCACAAACTTCCCCGCGGGATACCCAACCTTTCAAGCACGCGGCGGCGGAGGAACCTTTGCGCACCACAGCGGTGGGGGCTCCTCATCATCAGGCGCAGCAGAGTCGCCGCACGCGCACGCAGGAGGAGGACCACCGCCCCTCCAGCCGGCGGCCGAACCGCACTTTGACATTTTCGAATGGCACCCCGCATACCAAAGCTGCCAGCGCTACTTCCTCGACCACGCCCAGCACGACAATGGCGTCCAGGCCGTGTGCGCCCTCATCAACATCTGCCTGCCCTTCCAATGGTCGCAGAACCCGCTGCTCAGCTCCTCGGGCCCGCTGCCGCATGCCTCGGGCCCCGCCGCTTACAACATGGGGTGGCCACGCCAAGGCCCAGTCACTTCGTCGCGCGTGCCCGGCGGTATGGCTGGTGTTGGAGTAGCAAGCAGCAGCAGTGTAGGCGGAGGCCACCACCTCCACCACCACCACGCCGCACAGCCGCCGCCCCCGCCGCCAGCCTGGGTCTCGCTCGTCCCTTTTATCCGCCGCCTCGTTGTCACCGGCATGGACAGCGCAGGCATCATGCACGGCTTCTTCGGCGAGGACTGGCGTAAAGGCGTCGGTCCCATGCACGAGTGCGAGCGCCGCAACTACCTCTTCACCGCGAAAAGCGTCGGCTGGGCCAAGGTCAAATGCCACTACGACATGTCCCCCCATGAATCTGTCCCCTTTCTCAAACCCCTCCAGGAAGTCCAACTCGCAGAGATTGAGGGCGCGGAGAAGACTTGGAGTCAGTGGCTCGCCATGGAGGATTGGATGGTCGGTCCGCGGGCCCCTGATGCGCGTGATGGGGATCAGCATCTTGACGATGCGCCGCCTTCGCGACACGAGTCGTGAAATTCTTCTCTTACTGATATATCAAAAAGACTCTCTCTCTGTGTGTGTTTTTTCGCACTTGACGTATGGAGTTGGCTGGAGTTTTCTGGGTTCTTTCCTTCCCTCTTCCCATCATCTACTTTACTTCCTGTTTTTTTTCTTTTTTTTCTCCCTTATTGTCACATTGCCAACCCGCACTTTTGGCCCCGTTATTTGTTCTGTCAAGCGTTCGGAATTTATTCTTTTTTTTATAACTCTCCTCCCCCCCCCCCTTCGGTAAATGGGATGGTTGGGGAGGTGGAATTGGTGTAAAGGGGGTTAGGTTGAGGGGAATGGCCTGATTTTTTTTTGAGTATTAGCCGTCTTTGAAATCATCCTGCCCTTGCTGGTTTCCTCCGCGGCAGTAAGCAGTCATGCTTGTATTTCGGATTTTAGACTCCCACTTTTGTATATGTGTGCATTCCCTGTTTTTTTGTCTCTTCCAGTCTTTGTCTCGTTTTTTGCTGGTGCTGCTGCTTCTGTTCAATACCATATTGATATTAGTCTCGCGTCTTGGTTGAATATGTATAGTTGGCTGATCAAGCAGCTCAAGATAGATCAGAATCAGAAAAGTCACTACTTGGATGAAGAATACATTTACTCAGTTTTCAAACGGAGTCTAACTAACCAACATATATCTCAAGTCCTCTTATCAATACTCTGCATCACACTACAGTATCTAACCATCATCTACATGTTGTCGAAATCAAGTCCCCAGTCATCATCACCTCCTCCGCCTCCACCCATGTCCATGTTCATGTCCATGTCTATACCCATGCCTCCCATATCACCTAGGTCCAAGTCCGGTAAGTTACCCAGATCCGTGCTCATATCACCAGTTCCTGCATCACCATTGCCCATACCGATGCCCGACAGATCCAGCCCCTCAGTGTTGGCAAGCTCGTCCATGCTGCGCTGGAGAGCCTTGTTATCCATATTGGAAATATCCTCGACCATGCTCGCTGCTGCTGCGTCGTCCATGGCACGGTTCAGGTGCTCGGAAATAGATTGCGATTGCATGTCTGCAATGTTGACGCTTGGTATGCTGATTGGAGGTGCTTGAAGTCCGCTCTCCGCTAGTGATGTAAAGTGTGCTTCGACGCGCCGGTGTAAGCGCACTATTGTCTCCGCGGTCAGGGGATCGGTAGCGACTAGGCTGGCTGCATCGTCGAAATCCTGCTTCAGCATCTCTCGTAGGTTCATACGCGTTCGCTGCGGTGTGGGCGCTGGTACTGTGCTTCCCACCCAGTCTACCGAAATGGGGCTGTCCTCAACAGTTGGAGAACAGATAATGGATACCCCAACGTCAAGTGCCGCTGCTCCGTTGCCACCATCAGTCTGCGTCTTCACTTCGTCTACAATAGCCCGTAATGTCCGGGCCGCACCCAGCATCTTCAGCGAAGCGTATAGTTGACGGTGTGTATAGCTTGGCGGGTTCGGTTGCATCGAAGCTGTTGAAGCCCATTGTGAGAGCTGTTGCACAGTGTGTCGCAGTGAAGTATTCAATGTGCTGTTAGGTGCATTCGTCCATTGATCCAGCTCCTTCATTGTGGCGAACACGGTACGTTCATAATGTGCGTGCATTTTGATGGCCTGCAAAAAGGAGTCGAGGTTGTTGCGATTCGGTTCTCGTCGCTGTAGTGTACGAAAGCACTTCTCCAGGCGACTTGACACCATGGCTATGATAGTCAAGTGCATAGCCTGTGCGTCTCCAGATGATGGTGCGGAGAGTAAAATCGCGTTGAAAATGCGTGTCATTGCGTCCAGGTCGTTGTGGGTCTGTAGTAGGGCATAGGAAGCCATCCAGGTCAAACCTCCGATTAGCGACGGCATGAGAAATGTTTCACCCAAATCTGAACGTTGGTGAGCATCTATACATGGGAAAAATTGACAGAATTAGAGTCTGCTTACATTCTAGACCACCTTTGACGGTTTCGAAAGACAAAACACCGAGGGAGCAAGCCACCACTGTCTGATGGAAAAGGGTTGGTACAATCAAGTAAAAGTCTTGCGGCCGACACGACGCGAAGACTTCATTACTCAAACCTTCCTTGTCCGAGTCATAGAGACCTTTGAGCCAGCTTCCAAGATGCCTGCCCTGTTCTTCGGTCAATTCATCTGGTGGTATGCTGTGATGTCCACGCTGCAATAGCTTCGCGATGAATGTATCGTGACTAATGCCGATGTCATGGTACACCAGATCATAGCGGTATACAAAAGCCATGATGAGAACAAGTATAGCACCAAACTCGTCGTATACGGGTTGGTATTCGCCTGTTCTTTTTAGAGATTGCACGTATTGTTTTCAAGTGAGATCTTACCTTGATCGCTATCATAATGCCAGTCCTCGAGAAACTGGCACAACGGTCGTAGTATGCTCGCTGGGGACGTGAACTGTAGCATCACATCCATTGCTTGGGGTTTCTTGAAAATCAAACAACAAAGCTGCTTTAGATACATGGTCGTTTGTGTATCGCAAAGATGTGAAATGAACTATGACCAAATTAGTACGCTATTTCACGCAAAGAAAGGATCGGATCATACGTCTGCCACAGCTGCAACAATAGCGCCAGCATTTCCATCAAGATTCTCAAGTTCATCAATGTATACGCTGACCTTGTCGAAGTTGGATTTACACTGATTAAGCAATTCCTTCCTCTCGTATCTCTTCGCGGGTGGTCCTTGCATAGGTGCTTCCCCCAAGAGGCGCTCTACAGTACCCGCTGGAAGGAGACCATGAAGCACACAGGCGTTGAGATAATCCTGTCTGACATCTGAAAGAGAGTTGTTGCTCCCCATAATATCGTCAAACCCTTGTGAGAAAGACGGAAAAGCGTTTGGATCCACGTGACTCAGCGCCTGGGTAATGCACATCTCAACTGTCATTGGAAATATTGAGCCGGAAATCTGCGTCAGAATAGTAGGAATCTTGTTGATCAAAAAAGACTTCAGGTAGAACAAGGTCTGAGTAGGCTCATTGCGGTACATGGCGTTGGCGAGAATGTCGAAAGCAGCCGTGATTAGATCAGTTGCCATGTTCTGAGGTTCTAGCTTGTAACGCGTATGTAAGTGGCTAATGATAACAAAGTCATCAGTTAGTGGTCGTGCAACGAGCTTGTGACTGTTAGTGGTGAGTGGACAATGTCAGTAACGTGATGACTTACTAACGAATTCAGAAATACGTAGAGACCAGCTCGCGTATTCGCCTGCGGTAGCTCCATTACTGCATCAAGCTGAAGCGCAGCAACTTCAAGACCGGCGCTCTCATTTCCCTCGCCATTGACGTTTGGAAGCTTTTCGTACAAATCGTGTTGTTTTTGCGAGATCTCTAGCCTGTTTGCTAGCGACAGAGATGTCTGAGACCCCGCCGAGTTGTTTGAGAGAAATGGGATAAATGATGAGAGAGATTTTGTCAGTTCCTTGCGCACCTCTAATCAATTGTGAGTAACACTCTTTAGTCTCGTTGTGGGATGAAATCGCATAGTCATTGCTCCAAAACAGGGGCGTTTATCAACAGCGGCAATTACGGACAGCGGTAGTGAACATCAGGCCCTCGTACTTGGCACACTGCTGTGAATTTTGCCAGAACTGTGCATAGCTGATTTACGCCTTTCGTAATGGTGCTGGAGTCTGTGCGCAAGGAGAGCTTACCTTCAGCTTTTGGGTGGTTCAGTATTCGGAGGATTTTTGAATTTTCGATTACCCCAACCACGAGCATAGCGAGGCCTTCTCGCACGTTAATGGACTGCTGTTGTGGCTGTTGTATGCCAGCCATGGCCTGAATCATGGTATCGCTGGTATGCGAGGTGACCATTGCCTGCATCCATCGTGCTACAACAGCTAGGGTGTGCACAGCCTCGACATTGTTGACGGGGCGTTCCTCTGCAGCAAAGACCTTGTGCAAACGATGAAAAACGAGTTCTTCCAATTCTGGTGGGTTGCTCCATTTCACATCTTTTGAGGGCTTCTCTTCTGTCTTGATTGGTAGTCGAACTTTGGAGTACAGAAGCGCGACAATCAAAACGTCGGAAGCGTCAAGCTTCTTCAGCGACAACAGTTGCTCGAGGTAAATTACAGTGCGTGGGTCGATATTGGTGTTATCTGCGACGCGTGGGCGAAGAAACAGAGAGGCGAGTTTCCGGCCTGGCAGTGGAGACTTGGCGTGTAGCTGCGCGACTGCGGCAGCGAAAACATCAGATTGGACGCGGCGCTCCAAACAGCGGTCCAAAAGGACCGTCCATTCCTTGATCATGAAATCCATGCCTAAGGGATAAAAAATGTTGCCTCCAGATGCGGGATTGGTAGGAGAAGGAAAGGGAGGAGAGAAGCGTGCTGCACTGAGAACGAAGATGGTCGGACGTGATGAATGACCGAAACTTCTTGGCAGGCACGAGCACCAGTGGTGCAAATACTTTGTGGCCGTCCAACCCAACCTTGGTTCAGCGCAGTGCACGCAAATAATGTTGTTTGGGCGGTATTTGGTTCGTGAGCTCGGTCCTTGTCAATATAGATATTTTGGATATACTAATTCGAGGCGGGCAGTAGTATAAGAAGAAGTGAGCATGCGAGAAGGTAGGACGGCTGAGAATTGAAGGGCCAGTCAAATTCACAGATGGCAAACGCTCGAGGCAGATGAGCGCAATCTTGTCGAATAAATCTTCCAGAAGCCAGTCAGCTTATCTCAACTTGTGAAGCCTGCATTTGCCCACCTGACTTTTGGTTGACTTGCCACAATGTCAGGGTCCTTGAGTAGCCTGGCCATCATGATTACGATGGCCTCGATATACTAAGCTTCCGAATCGGGATGCCGGGATATACCAGCTCATTGTGAATGAAGATATGAATATTGTATGAACTCGGTATATGAGGACGGATGATTGGATCGGAATATGAGTAAACGGTGTGATGAAGTGGGCCGAGGTCGTGGTACTGATCCGAACAAGTACGTATTAGTAGTGTATGACTGAGGCGGGGTGCTTTTTCCGTATGCACATAGTTCCCGAAGCGCTTGCCCCACACCTGCACATATACTTATTGTCAGCTTGCTTCGACCTTGGCCTCCCCGTATCTACCTGGCATTGTCAAGTTTTCCTCGAGACAATTAATTCATTTGCCAAATTCTAAAATAGAGCCAAGATTGCCACTTAGCAGCAAAACATGCCGTACGACCTCAAAAATCGGAATGTCCTTGTGACAGGCGGATCAGCGTGAGTGACAAGGAGGGATACTTTGATAGCAGATGGCTATACGGGCTTGGTTGTTTGGGAAATTATTGCTGACAATCGCCTAGCGGTCTGGGAGAACTGATCTGCAAGACTTTTGCAAAGGAAGGCGCCAACATTGCCGTTAACTATTTCAACCGCCTCGAACCTGCCCAGAAGGTACAGCAAGCATGTGAAGAGCTGGGAGTCAAAGCTGTAGTCATCAAGGCGGTAAGATTTGCCCTGCGTTTGGAAGTGTAAGCATGGGACTAAGGATCATAGGACATGACGTTGACGTCGGAAGCGAGACGAGTAGTTCAGGAGACGATTAAGCAGCTAGGCGGCCTTGATTTGATCATTTCAAACGCGGTATGCATGCTGTTGTGCAATGATGTGTTGCATCGACAGAATGCTAGCTGACGGAAATTCAGGGATGGACACGCTTCGCTGCGTGGGAGGATCTCGACTCCATGTCGGAAGAAGAGTGGGACAAGTGCTGGAATGCAAACGTCAAAGTTCCCAAGGCATTACTTTCCGAGGCCAGAGCCACATTTGATGCCAATCCTGATGGCGGGCACATGATTACGACGGGGAGTATTGCTGTATGTCGCTTGCGTACATGACTGGCTGGTGCATGGGTACTAACTCATGACAGGCTATCGGCCAGGGAGGGAGCAGTATGCCGTATTCCGTCACAAAAGCAGCGCAACTGCAATTAGTAAAGTGCCTTGCTGTGACTGTTGGACCCACGATACGCGTCAACACGGTTCTTCCTGGCTTGCTGTTGACTGAATGGGTACGAAGCACACGTCTCTTGTCGCACAACGACGGCCCACTGTCTAATGCTGACCAATTATTAGGGACTCAAGTACTCGGAAGAGCGCATCAAAACACTCAAGGCGACAGCAGCCCTGAAGCACGAGGCGTTCCTGGATGACTGCGTGGCTGCGTTTGTGATGCTGGCGAAGAATACCAGCATGACGGGCATGCGAATCCAGGTTGATGCTGGGCTCAACATTCAAGGTGCATGATGGCTTTGCGGTCCATTCGGAGCTGTATGTATATATGGATGGGTATGGATTAAATACATTGAACACATACATGGACATGTCATGTGACCCGAGTCATGGTAGCAGTAGCAGTAGCAGCAGCGTCGGTGGGGGAGGGCGGGAAAGCAAGACCTCGGCCGTGGGAGGGGCCCGTCGACCCCACGGTAATGCCACTGGGGGACGACTAGCACTAAGCCGGGCGGCCGGGTCCACGTCAATTCCCCGCGTCCAGGAGCTCCGCATGTCTGCGAATCTTACATGGTCTCTCAGTCATGATTCCAGAACTACCGTAGCCGCTTGCTTCGCCATGTCTCGCCCTCTCTCGCCAGTCGTCAACGCATGTCCGCGTCTGTCGCGACGCTGCATGCAATGCGGACAACCCGTCAACCGCTGCCCGCCTGCCCCACGGCGCTGGATGAGCGGCGTGCGAGATGCACCAATCAAGCGACCAAAGACGGCCATCTTCTTTCCTGGTACCATCCCATCGTCATGTCCCGTCCTCGCGGCACAGCCTACTGACTGAAGCCAGGTCAGGGAGTCCAGCGCGTGGGCATGTGCACGCCATGGCTAGAAGCCTTTCCCGGAACCGCGAAGCCCATTCTCGAGGAAATCGATGACATGCTCAAGCTTCCTCTTACAAAAGTCATAGAATCCGGCACTAATGCTGAGCTCACAAGGACCGAGAATGCGCAGCCTGCTATCATGGCCACGTCGATTCTGATCCTGCGCATACTGGAAAAGGAATTTGGTTTCAAGACGGGCGAGCGTGTCGACATCACCCTTGGCCATTCTCTAGGAGAGTTTGCTGCACTCGTCGCCGGCGGTTACCTCACCTTTGCCGATGCGCTGAAGATGGTACGGAGGCGAGCAGAGGTCATGGCCAAATGCAGCCAGGAGGCTGTAGCAGAAGAAGGCGGCGAGTTCGGCATGGTAGCTTTGGTCTGTGAATCGGAAGAGCACATGCAATCCCTCATCCAAGGTATACACGAGTTCCTCGCACTCGGCTCAAAGGCAGATTCCCACGACTCTCTTCCTGCCGTCCAGCAAGTCGCCATCGCCAACCTCAACTCCAAGAACCAGATCGTGCTCAGTGGAAGCATTACCCGCATAAACACACTGCTGACCAATCTCCGCCAATTCGGTGGTCATGATCCACGCCATGTCCGCCTCAAGTCCGACGCTCCCTTTCACAGCCCTCTCATGAAGCCTGCCCAAGAGACCATGAAGCAGATTTTGCACAGGGAGACCAAAGACGGGCGTGACATAGTGACATGGCCTGGCATATTGCCGTGCATATCCAATGTTTCGGGCAAGCCTTTCACCGACAAGGACCAGCTCAAGGACCTACTCGCGCGCAGTTGTGTCGAAACAGTGCAATGGTGGAAGAGCATAAAGTATCTCCATGAACAAGAGAAAATCATGCGCTATGTGGGTATCGGGCCAGGTAAAGTCGGCAGGAATCTGGTAGGCAAAGAAGTGGGAATGAAGGGGTCTGTCAAGGGAGGTGGCGTCTGGGGCATCACTAGCCCCAAAGAGATGGAAGAGGTTATGCAGGCCTTGGATGAGACGGAGAATGCCGAGGCAGAGTGAGTTGTTCTGGATAGAACTCGCCTGTTTCCTCTTTTTTTTTCTTGTTTTGCGTGCGGAGGACATTATACCCCAAACACAGCCTAATTCTTTTGCTTCGCAGGTTTTAAAACCATTTTATGTAATACAAGAAAGACAATTGTAGATAGACATGCTTTTACATCTCACCTATCCCCATCACACCAGTCCTCCTTCCAAATCCAAAAGTAGCCCCCAAAACTATCAAACTCATCCAACTCAGCAGACTCATGTCCCCACGTCCCCGCAATACCAAATGGTGTCATACAGCCCATCCACGACCACGTCCACGCATTCACAATATACCGCTTCACCAGCTCCACCTGCCCATTCTTCTTGACGCGGCCCTGAAGCGAAAACTCACCATGAGCATCTACACCCCTCGTTTCGCGATCAATCACAGAAGCCACATCCGGCGCACCCTCTGGCGCCCGCGCCACGATATTGATATCGCGCATGGGCGGATCAAACGAGCGCACATGCGCCGAGTCCCTCTGCTCAGAATAATAGCCTGTCCATTTCCCCCCCAGAAAGCCCGGCGTTACCATTTTCTGCACGTAGCATTCGGCAAACGAAGGGCTGGACGAAGGGTCTTGCGGGAACAAGGGTGGGATTTGCATCAGCTCTCTAAAACATATACTTGATACCGCGGGGAGCTGGCGGCGCAACTGCTCAGGAAAGAGGCGGTAGACGGCTAGTTCTAGTAGGAAAGTGGGCAAGAGTGCGGCGGCTTCGTCGAGGTGGAAGTCTTGTTTAAAGCTGCCGTAGCTGCGGACGCGGTTGCGGAGGTGAGTGATTGAATCTGCATGCGAAGTTTGGGATCTGCCAGGGTTTGCTTTGAAGTGCCTGTCTAGCGGTTTCTTGACCTGGGTTTCGGCGCTGATGCAGTAGCGGAGTTGGTGGAGCAACGTGCAGGTAATCACAAAGTTTGTAGCAATAAGATCGTTTTCCGGGAATTTGTACGTGAGCAGGTCGTCGTAGATGATGACAAAGGATTCGGGTTTTAGGGAGGACATGGCGCAGTGTCCCAGGGCTGTCATGTGGGGGACCCAGTCGAGGACGTCGTATCTCCTAGTGTTCTTTGGGACTTTGAAGACCCAGGCGTCGGACTTTTTGGTCGAGGATTTGATGCATTTTTCGGCTGCGAAGGCGAGGCGGATGGTCTCGGGCAGTGAGGCTGAGGTTAGAAGGGGATCGTCGTCTTCGAATAGTATTAGGCCATCGTAGAGTCCCCATTTGGAGAGGGAAGAGTAGTTCAAATCACGTTTGGCAATTTGCTGGAAGACCAGACGGTCGTTACATGCTTTGCGTAGCTGGTGGTTGACACGAAGTAGGTTAAGGGCTGAGGAGCAGGGTAGTGAAGAAGCAATTTGCTGCAAGAGCTCAGTGGGGAGAGAAAGTAATCCAGGCATTTTATAGGCACAAAGGGAGCGGATGCTTATCTCGGGTAGTGCAAGGGGTGATGAGGTTTAGCTGAGTGTCATGCCACCAGGTCAATGGTGGGATGCTGGCTCACGTGACGATAACGATAAGAACGCCACAGGTTCGAACAAGTGAGAGTATTTGCTTTTTCATTAGCTCTCAAAACTGCCACGATAATACTTGTAAGCCCCTGGTACCATTCTCCAAGGACTTTAGTCGGTGTTTTCATGTTCTGCAACCCACATTGTTTGGGCTCAGATCAGTGATTCTGCAATCTGACTCAGCCCCTGAGATCTCCTAGTGATCTACCGGCATTCGAATGAAGTCGGCCCGTCTGGATTACCATCGACGTATACCAGGTGTTTCGGCCACAAGCAGAGATTCGCCTTTCGTCCCTTTGATGTCTCTGCCGCAAGCGTTTCCGGAGCCACGCCATTCTCCACCCATTCAATGAGCGCCTTCAACCCTTCTCCGGGATACCATCCGAGTCCACCACCACAGTGATTTATACCCGGCGCCTCAAAGAACCGATAATAGTCACTCGCTTTTGGGTCGCGCTCATAAACCTCCTTGACGTAATGTGTTGTGGTATCGGGCGAAACATACTGGTCAGCAAGCCCCTGCCAATTAATTAGCTTACCACCTGCTTTGCGGAAGCCGTCGAGATTCGTATCCGAGGTTCCTATTATCGAGTCGTAGAGGTTGACGGATTGGTGAAAGAGCTCCTCGAAGTAGGTCTTGTTGATTTGTGCGGTGTCGAATTTGCGATCAAGAGTAAGGAAGTCTCTAATCCAGATTTCGGGTAAGAAGAAAGGGACACCAACACATGCGCCATTTTCACATGTCGTATTAGCGAGGCCGCTGAAGGGAGCACCAATGTTGTCTGGATACCAAAGGAAGTCGCCGTCGGAGGTGGTTGCACCCTGCCAGATAAGACGAGCTACTGTAGCTACGGTCTCTGTGATTATCGTGCTCTTGTTTGACGATGGGCAAATGTATTCCTTTCCTGTGACAGTTGCTGGGTCAAAAGAACACTCTTTGGGAAGAGAGATGATACCATCTTCGAGGCCGTCGAGATCATCACAGGCTTGAATAGCAGCTGCATTAATGGCCTCCAGCTCACATGGGGTAGGGAAGCCTGAGACGTATCAGCGAGGATATTCTATTCTTTCGACGGGACACATACCGTTCTCGTTCATGACAACCTGTGGCCAAAAGAGCTGCAGCATCAACTGACTCCAGTAGATTGCTGGCGCAGCCGCGAGAATCCCGTCGTATTGATCCGGATATCTCTGCGCCATCATGTGTCCTTGTCTTCCACCAGTGGAACAACCATTCCAGTAACTGTAGCTTGGTGCTTTACCATAGTACTTTTCGGTGACGGCTTTCCCAAGTGTCGCAGCATCATTCAATGTAATTGAAGAGAAATCTTGTAGCAGAATCCAGTTGATGTTTCCAGGACTCACTAGCGACCACTCGGTGTCTCCACCAGTATGTCCGCCGTCAGTTGCGACAACAGCGAAGCCCTCACTCGCCGCCCAAGGGAGCGTAGTGTTAGTGTCTGGTTCTGTAGACCACCCGCTCCCTCCTGCGCCGAGAAAGCGTCCAGTCCACTTCTCGGGAGTGGGTAGCCATACTGAAGTGTTGATGGTATCGTTGTAGCCAGGGTGGGTGTAGGTGATAGTTACTTCGCAGGCGTCCAGATCTGTCACATTAACCGAGTAATGATTCGCCTCTGCGGGAGCTTCGAATGAAAGGCCTGTATGGAGTTGTGTGACGATATTGAGAATCTTTCCATTTGAGAGCTTCACATCTTGAAAAGTAGATGCTTCACAGTTTGCTTCGCAGATAGCTGACTCGACAAAGAGAGCCAGTACAGCCAGTAGTGAAGCGAGATGCCTTCTGCGTACAAGAGCCATTGTTGAATAACAGATCTTCCGAAGAGAGCGACAGAACGAGCTTAGAATCGGCGATGGTGCTTCAATTGTAGATTCTCCAGCTTACTTATACTGCCATTTGTCTGCAAAGTACAACTGGCTAGGACATGCCAATCAGATACCTATCCGACTTTCTTTGATTGCAATTAGTACCGACGTTTAACGAACTGGAAGCCTTAAATTTTAGATATTTCCTGATCGAGCTATCCATTTTCCGGTATCAAGGTAGCCGTTGCGCCAAAGTGGAGTCTTTTTGCATTACCGAGGAGGCTTGCTGCTTCCAAGGCGGCATCATGCTTACTCAACCGGTATGTGGGCAGGCTAACCCGTTTCGCAACCTATCAGAGGCGGTTTGGCGAGATATGAGGCTTTTCTGTAACAGTTGAGTAATCCCTTCTCTTCATGCTGGAATTTTCGTGTCGTCTTCCTCGGTTTTGTATACTAGTTGATAACACTCACTGGGTGCTCGGATAAGGTCACCATCTTCCTTCCGCTTCATCCTCTATCTTTTACAGACAATATTGATGTCGTCAATTTTGGCTCAGCATGACCATAACGGCATTGAGCTATCATTCCAGGCTGCACGTATGCGTCTCTTATTTGATGAAAATCAAAGCGACAAGTACCATGACTTGACCTTCTTTGAGGGCTGCAAACACGATGCGTACGTTCTTTGTATCAGACCTGTTTATTTCAGTTTCCATATTTGATGCCAACAATAAGAGATTGCCTATACTCACACGATCAAAGATACTGCCGTATTCTAAGTAGAGTGAGAGTGTATCGGAGCCGGCAATGATAGATGTCTGTAACCCCACAACATCATGTGGGGCTACGGTTACCCCGAGACCACCCCCGCACATCCGACACCTATGTTCGGAAGAGTACCGTGCCACACTTGGAATTCAAATAACAGCAGTTCAGTTAGCAATTGGAATTTACATTAAGACACAAAACTTGCAAAGTATAAAATATTCACTACAAACCAAAACCAACAATGGATCCCGCAGAATTCGGCATCAGTACACTTCCTCTACAACATGTCCCCTACGGGCCCATCCTCCCCGAAGCCCTCCAAGGCTCCAACTCTGGAAAAATCGCCCTCGTAACAGGTGCAGGGCGGGGCATTGGCGCCGCCATTTCGGAATCCCTAGCAAAATCTGGTGCTAGTGTCGCCCTCCTGGATATCAACGTCAACAAGCTAGACCAAACCAAGAAGACGTGTTTATCCTTTGGCGTCAAGGTAGAAGCATTCGGATGCGATGTGCGGGATCAAGAGCGATTGACAGAAGTTCTGGCGCAGGTGACGAAACAACTGGGGCCAATTGATGTACTGGTGAATAATGCGGGGATATTTGATCAACGGCCCTTGATTATGAGTACGTTTGAGGATTTCTGGAAGCAGATTGAGGTTAATTTCAAGGCTGTAAGTTTCACTTGTTTCTTTCTCTTTTTTGTTCGTATTATCTGTTTGGACGAGAGGGAAACAAGAAGGAAGACTTGGACTAATTGGATTATTACTAGCCTTTGATGCTCATCCACGCTCTTCTACCGCAAATGCGCGACCGTGGACATGGCTGCATCATCAATATCGCATCGCGATCTGGAACCGTAGATGTGCCCATGACACTTGGATACGTGGCTTCCAAAGCAGCGCTCATCCGCGCAACGCATACGCTGCAGAAAGAGATGGAGCTGGAAAGATTGGATCCTGCAATTCATATATATGCGCTTCATCCAGGTGGTGTACGAGGCAACATGGGTGGAGGTAAGTTGACATGCTTTCGTCTCAAGGCTCTCAGAATGCTAACACAAAGAAGCTGGTATTGCAGAAGATGTGAAGAAGAAGTATGATAGGAATGTCACGGATGAAGAGTTTTTCAAGCACCTTTTCAAGGATGACCCGTCGCTTTGCGGACAAACGTGTGCGTGGCTGGCAAGCGGCCAAGGAAAGGAACTCCGGGGACTGTTTTTGGGTAATCACTCCTATCCTTTCGCCGTCAAAAGTGTAAAAGGCTGACGTTGTCTAGATTGCCGACAGGACGTTGCGAAGTTACTCAGCATTGGACGTGAGACGTTGATGAAAGAGAAACGGAACACATTGACTGTCAATTTCATCGATGGTTATTGCAACGAACCATAGCGGTTGGACCAAACAATCCATGCCAAGTAATTCTCAAATTGAATTTTTGATACTTTAACATCAAAAAACACAAAGAGAACACCATAAAATGAAATGAAACCTCTGCTTTTCTATTCCCAATTCGTGCCAAAAGTTTCTTGTTGACAACCTCGCTCACTTTTGTTCACAAACCGAGTACTCAAAGCAGCTTATTTTTAGCATCATACTAAATCAAATGCATGAAACCAAGTACATACGTCATTTCGAGAGAAAGTACCGAGCTGCAGTACCGCAACGGCCGGCAGTTAAGATTAAGCCGACAAAAAGCTTTTTACAAGTAAGCGTTGGTATCAGCTATGCTGGGGTACATCGTTCAGCGCACAGACTATAAGGAGAGGCTTTCCCGCACGAATGTATCAGGCTTACTCCGAGATACTGGAAAGGGAGAGATAACATCGCCTACGTCTCGTTTGCGCAAAGGGAGCGAATTTGTTCATTGGGTTTTCATAAATGGGTCATAAGATCTCCAAGCCTGATCGCTCTATTTTTGATTGATCTTTTGCCTTCCTCTTAGAGATCATATACCTATCTAGTTTCCCTTCCGCATTCTTTTCCCCTCACCATGCAGCGCTACGCTCGAAGCGGGATAGCTTCCGCAATTATTCATACACAGAATTGGTGCAAAATCTACAAGTGCATAATCACGCCACTGATTGGCGGGTGATTATCCGCAATTTGTCCACTTAAGCAATACAGTAGGTGCTTATTCGCTTCTTGTATCGTGTATATTAGTTGTACGAGGAAGCATTGTGTACTAAGGCTTGTTTCGAAGACTTATACCCCTGCAGCTGACTTACCCCTACTCCTTTGAGCCTGTAGTTTACACCTGACTCGTAACCCGAGTGCCTCCAAATTAACAAACCTGCCCGATCAATCGAAACGACTAGGGAACGAAATGAGGATATGCTGGTTGAAAGTCCCACAGGCGTTAGAACCGTTTCGCTTAACGTTGGGGAACGTGTCCCGCTCTACTGGAACCGAAGTCTAGGCGTGCCCAATGCCGGGATACTCACGATCCAGCTACTTCAAACAGTCTCCCTCTTCTCCACGTACTCCGCACTCATTTCCTTGTTCTCTTCGGAGATTTTCGTTTGTTCATGCGTGGCAATCCGTTCATCGGCCTCGATAAACTCGATAGGGCGATGTAGTTGGACAGCAAGCTTATTGCGATGAACAAAGATACCGGGCTTCGTTTCAAAGAAGCGGTCGATGTCTTCCAAGGTCCGATTAGCCGTCTCTGGGTATAGAAAGTATGTGGTCGGAATGAAAGAGAAGCAGATGATGGCCCAAATGATCCAGAACTTGTACCCAAGGTTCTGGATGCCTGGAAGAGTAGCTTGCACGACGCCGTAGTTGCAGATCCAGTTAGTGGCTTTTGTTTGTTAGCTATTCGTTTACAGGTCAGCCGGGAAGCTCAAACATACCCATGGCGAGCGATGCGCCTTTTGTTCGCATTTCGAGCGCATTGATCCTATGGGCTATGTCAGCTGACGTTCTTGACAGTATGCGACAGAACTTACTCCGTAGGGTACAGCCACGGAACACCTAGAACACCCATACCGAAGCTAGCGAAGAATACGAAGAAGAATGAAACAGCGACTATTCCAAGCTTGTACTTGTCGCCACCAGCTTCCGTCTGTCCCTGAGATGCCGCTATGACAATCCAGCAGATGGAGCATGCGCCCGCGGAAACCATCATGACCTTCCGGCGCCCGTACCGCTCAATGACAAAGTATGCCAAACAAGCGAAGATTAGGTAATCCACCGAACCTGCTGCAGCCAGGATACGCGATAGTAGTTCTGAGATGCCTAGAGCGTTGATGAAAATGTAACTCATGTAGTACGAAGTTACGTTGATTCCGCTAATTTGATTCATTGCTTGCATGTACGCCCCCAAAAGCATGCGTCGCAACACACCACTCGGGCCTTTTCCAGTGAGCAGCTGCACCCAGGTATATGTGTTCATGTGCTCGCGATCCAGAATGTCTTTGATAATGTTGTACTGGGTAATAACAGAAGCTGACTCCGGTGTGGCTCCATGGCCCTCAAGCGCCGCAAGAACTTCTAGTGCTTCTTGATGCTTGCCTTTTCGGATGAGGAGACGCGGCGAGTCTGGTAGAAAAGGACACATGACAAAGATACAGAGGGTGAAGAAGAGTTGAAAAGCAAGTGGGAAGCGCCATGCAATGTCGCGGGGCGCAAAAGAGAAGCCGAGAGTGAGCCAATTTGAAATACTAAATCCGGTGATGCAGTTGGCTACACACATAGTCAGTCAGTTTACGTGATATCTGAGAGAACTCAGAAACATACCCATCTGAATGATGACGAGCTTTCCTCGACTGTTCATCTTACTCGTTTCAGCTTGCCATACACCAGCGGTCGAAGTATTCATTCCGGTGCCAAGTCCGGCAACGATACGACCAACCATCATGCTCGCGACAGTCCAGCTACATGTTTGAATAATCGCTCCGATTCCTATAATCGCCGAACCAAGCAAGATCTGTCGTGGCCGGCCGAGAATGTCGCCTGTCCATACAGTGCTCATTGCACCAATGAAGCACCCGATATTATAGATGGACGTCATAGTCCCCTGCATGTCCGCGGACGGATGGCCGAAGGTTTGAAGGAAGTTCTCTGAAATGATGACATTACCAAAGACCCCTTGATCGTACCCGTAAAATCTAATTAAAATGAGCAACCAAGTACGAGGTGATCTGTAAGTTTAGCTTACACTAGCACTGTACTGGCAGCGATTGAGATCCATACAGTTAATCGCTCACCCGAGCCTCCTAGGTATTTGCGTGCCATGACTGCCGGTTACGACGCTACTCAGCAGCTACCTGTAATTGCTGAGATAGACTAGATAGGTTTGTGGACAAAATGGGCACAGAATCAGTCGTATTCATCCGGTGTCGATAAATGCCCCGCTCCACTGACTCTGTACGAAGTGCTAGCACAGTACGACGAGCTGGCGGCGACGTGCACAACTTTATAAACGCGCCAAGAACAGAGTCTCGGAATATGCTCCGCTTATCATTATCCCTTGAAGGAAAGCTTGTGGAGTCTGTAGAGCATCCGATTGCTTCAAACTCCACACTCTTCCCCAGAACCAAAGCGTGAACCCCATGCTCTAGCGAATAATGACCCACTTTGTGCATGTGCACGGCCCATACAGTGTCGATCACGGCGTTTAGGCCGACGGAGATACGGGAAACCATATGCACAAGAGTCAACGATGACGATGTAGTCGTGGTAAGGTTGTATGTGCGGGACTGTTCGATTGCGGCATACCGAGTTGAGTAAAGCGAGGCAGAGAAACAGACATGGATGACGGCAGGTTTGACGAGACGCGGGGTAATCAAGGCAGTAGGCCGAGTGTGGAGTTTGCCCTTGCTAAGCTTCTTCTTAACCGTCACTAGCCTCCGCAGTTATGGGGCTCTGAGGATCCCCCAAATTATTCCGCGGAAAAAAGATGTTGCGCTGTCACTCTGTTTGGCCATCCTCTCCCTGCACAATTAGAGCACAAGGCGCAAGGACTGCCTGACCGAGCAGTCGTCCCGATGTGCAGCCGGTGTCATGCGTCAGCCACCGGTAAATCATCGCTAGTCAGTGTGTTGTTTCAATGATGAAATTGAAGGAAGATATAGTATAAATAGTAGAGAATGGTCATGAAGACGACATGCTACCTCCCAACCAGCACGCTCACTCACTACAGTCTTCACCATGATTTGGACCAATTCATTTCTTCTCTCCCTCGCGGGTGCTTCCCATGTGGCAGCCCAGTCGTTTCAGCAGACACCAGTCATGGGCTGGAACTCATACAACCAAATGTCATGCAGTCCCAACGCCCAGAAAATCACCACGACCATCAACGCTCTTGCCAGCCGTGGATTTGTTGCTGCGGGTTACAAGTATTTCCAGATTGATTGCGGATGGGCTTCAAGGGACGGACAACGAAACTCTACCAACGGCGCCTTGAAAGTGGACTTGAAAGCCTTCCCTAACGGACTCCAGCCACTCGCCGACCTAACAAGATCCAAGGGAATGAAGTGGACCATGTACTCAGACGCAGGTGTGAGGATGTGTGACCCTCAGTCACCAAGTCCAGTCTTGGGCTCTCTGGGCCATGAGGCTGCGGATGCCGCTTTTTTCAAGTCGCTTGGTACTGAATACGTCAAATGTATGTGTTTCCAAAACACCTACAGAAGCAACAGAAAGCTGACAGTCACGTAGACGACAACTGCTATGCAGATGGACCTAACGCTAGCCAAAATGCCCCAAAGAATGCCAGGACCGACTTTGTTACTCGAATGGGCGCCATGTGGAAGGAGCTGCAGAAGGTTGGCGTTCCCGGAATGTTGATCTGCCAATGGGGTGTCCCCTACTCTACCTCCGCTGGTCTAGAGGGACCTGATACGTGGACCAAGGGCATTTCTACCTCTTTCCGTCTGTCAGACGACATTACTTCGGGCTGGGCGTCAATGTTCCGCATCTACAACCAAGCTGTCCATATCGCCAAATCTGGCAACGTAGGCCCAGGACACATTGCCGATGCCGATTTACTCGAGGTTGGCAATTCCGCCATGTCTTTCGACGAACAAGCCACACATTTCGCTGCTTGGGCTATGCTCAAGTCTGCGCTGATGATCTCAACTGATGTTGCGGCATTGTCGAACGAATTGGTCACTGTCCTCCAGAACAAGGATCTCATTGCCATCAACCAGGATTCGGCTGTCAAGCCAGTTACCCTCCGCCAACGATGGAGCGGCGATCGTGATCTATGGGCAGGAGATCTCGCAAACGGAGATATGGCCGTCTTGGCTGTGGATCTCAGCAACACTGGCCGCACCCTCACCATTCAGCTGGCCGACCTGGGAATTGCCTCTGCGACCATCAAGGACATCTGGGCTGGTACCACCACCACCGGCTCATCCTTCTCAAAGCAAATCAAAGCTCACGGCTCTGTCCCACTCCGCCTATCCAACATCCAACGCTCAACAGCCGCCAAGCCACAGTACAACTACGTCTCCGTATCCACCGGCTCTCTCTCCTCGGGCGCAAACACCTCGCCTTGCTCGGGCTGCACGTCCTCCAACAAGGTCGGCAACATTGGCGGCTCAAACGGCGGCCGCGTCACCCTCTCCAACATCCGCACTTCAAAGGCCACCCAAACCGTGCGCTTCGACTACATCAACGGAAACGTCGACTACATGGGCGGAACCAACGAGCGCGTTGCATCAATCAGTGTCAACGGCGGTGCCGCAAAGACTGTTAGCTTCCCCCTCACAGGCTACAACTGGAGCAAAGATGTTAGCAAGGATTATGCCGTTGAACTCTCGGGATTCAGCACTACTGGTCCCAACACGATTACCATCTCAGGAGCTGGAAGCTCGCCTGGACCTGACTTTGACAGGATTGGTGTCGTTGCTTAAGCTGCGCTAGTCACCTGAGAGTGGATGTATATAGGGTTTTTGGCTGCAGTTGGCGGCACATCTCGAGGTTTTTTCTACACAGTATATATTTTTTTTCCTTCGTACATATGACATTCATCACTACCGCTCCTTGTAGCTCCATAGCTCGCATGTGAAATGAACAAAACGTATTCTCTTTGCAATACCAGAAAAACGATCAACATACCTTCAAACCCAAAAATACTAGTTATACAAACTTCGCCATCTCAGGCTTCGTCTCTCTCTCCTCTCCGTCCCCTACCCCCTGCTGCTCAGGCGCCCACGCCGGATCCTCTCGACTCGTAATAACCTCATGCACACTTAGTCTCTTTTCCACAACCTCCCTCCCATTAACAAGATCATTCTCATCCGCCCTCCTTGCCGCCTCCACCTCATCCCTCGCAATCCCCGCCTTAACATGACGATGAATAAGCCGCTTACGCGCGACTTCGAAGTCCACGTCGACAAACCACAACTCATCCATGAGCTGCGCGGCATCGCGCCAAGGCGAACTGTCTAGCGTACAGTAGTTGCCTTCGAAGACGACGATGCGGACAGAGGGCGCAATGGCAATGTCGTTCTCAACAGGGTCTTTTCGCGCGTGGTCGAAGCTCGGGGCGTATATCGTTGCCGTCTCGGGACAGATGGGCTCACGTAGCTTCTTCACAAGCGTGAAGAAAGAGTCGCCGTCGAAAGTAAAGGCTGCACCGCGCCGGGCGTGGGCGCTGTGCGGGTCGGGCATTGCGTCGAGCTGGAGGCGGGAGAGGTGGAAGCCGTCCATTGGGATGAAGGCGGAGATGGGGTTGCTATTTGCGGTGCCTGGAGATTGCTGTACGTGTTTCTCGTTGAGTTTGGTGGATACCATGGTTGCTAATGTGGTCTTTCCTGGTTTTCCTTCTTGTTAGATTGGGAGAGGGCGGTTTGGGGTGCGTGTGCAGCAACGTACCGGATCCGGGGATTCCTGAGATGGCGATCATTAGGCGTTTGGATGCTGGGATGTCTTGGTACTTCTCTGGATAGATGTCAGTATGCAACCTAGAATTCAAGGCTGGTATCAAATACCCCAGATCTTCTTTACCAAACGCTCTACTTGCTCGTTCATGTTGCCAATGTATAGTACGTTGTGTATACTAGTGTTTGGTTAATGGTGTACAATATAAATAGTTCTCCAAAATCTTTGTTCGCTGCAATCCTAGGGTCGATCAGAATCATGAACCTATCAATGCGGGAAGTCGGCGCTTTTCATCTTGTGCATTGCATACGTGCCAACATGCAGATTGTGGGGGTCTCGGCATAGTGGTGGATCTATGTCGGATCTGCTGACGTCGCGCGGGGGGAAGAGCGGCTGTTTACCGCGGCGAGACTCTACCCCAGCTCTAGACATTGCATCATCACGACAGACCAACACATGCTTTATAGGCACGTATGGCGTGGAACAAAAAGAACTTGCTCGTGTGAGTGGTCGATGGGTGGCTATCGGAGATGCGGAACATGGCGATCATAGGCGGATAATCATTGAATTCGCTGCTTTTGTATGGTCGAATATCCTCCCACGGCAATCCCTAAGATCCGGAATTGGTGAGCAAAGCGTATTATGTCTCTTATCGTGTGCAATTGATTTGCGACCAAAGTTGATTCCTGGCGAAGGATGCGTTCGACTTAGCAATGGCGTCACTCCTGCTCCACAAGAGGGTGCTTTGGCCAATTATCAAAGACGTGGCTTGAGGACAGGTGTGGCTGGGCATTCACATCCGCAAAAGCCATTGTAGAGCAGCCACCGGTGCCTAGAGACGCGGGAAGAAGATGACCTGAACTATTGTACTATTGCAATTCGGCCGCTACGCTTACAGTTATTTGGCCGAACGCGTTAGTTCGCGTTGAAACGCGTCAATCTACACCATGCTTCCCTGGGCTCTCCTTGCCCTCGTCCTGGCTAGCGTTTCACCAACATCCGCTGTCGATGAGAACCCCTCTACGAATACTCAGTCGCTTCTATGGGGCCCCTACCGGCCGAATATCTATCTAGGGCTCCGTCCCCGGGTACCCAAAAGTGTCATTGCGGGTTTAATGTGGGCGAGACTAGAGGACGTTGGAACGAGTAAGTTGAGGTTAGCATCGGTCAATTGCAATGCTGACAAGTTGTGCAGCACTGCGACATAATGTAAACCAAAGCGAAGACATAGCACGATATGGCTGGACTGCATACAACACACGAGAGGGTGGCCAGCAAGTCATAGAAGACGTTGGTAACAAGGTCAACATCACGACAGAGTTCATAAAGTATTCAGAGGGGCAGCACCAGGGAAACTGGGGCTTGAGAATTAAGGGAAAACCAAGATTCGATGCGCCTCCTGAATTAAAGACAGCCGTCATCTTCTACCTGGGTATGGAAGAGAAAGAAGCCTGTGCCCATTGCAGGTTAGATGCTCGCCAACAGCTCGGAGAGGGCGAAGACACATCTGTCCATGCTGTGAACATGAACCTTGTTCACCCAAAACTGGGCGCCTCTGGAATACACATTCTCGTTCCTAATAGCAGCGATGGACACCGTGAGATAGCATTCGTCAAGTCGCTGAATGTGACAGAGGACCGATTGTGGCAGGCCAAATGTACGTACTCGAGATACCAGACTTTCTTCTACCTATTGCCATGACCCACTATCTTGGTGTGAACGGCCGGCTGATCATTCTGCCCGCAAGAAGCCACTTTCTTGGATACCCTGAAAGACCAAACAAAGGACCGAAAGGAACCTGGACCAACCGATATTGTGATTCGGAATGCCCCAGGCGCAGGCAATATGCATTTCGTGCAGATGGTTCTTCATGGAGAGTTTGAGGTAAGTCATTTCTACGGCACAAAGCTATGAGTTACACTAAACTCTTGCAGTTTGATATTCTTTACTCCACCGAAACAGCGAAACGTGCTATGACCTGTGAGTTTGGTCTTATATGCTGGGCATCGCCGTTCACCGCAAAACTAATACTTCCCAGCTGCGAGTCTCACCACAGACCTAGAGAAAGCCATGCAAACGTTTGGCAAGAACTTTCTTTCAGTCTTCAATCCAACGCCACCGTTCAAGACCTTTGAGCATCTAAGTTTCTCCAAAAGTGTCTTCTCCGACCTACTGGGCGGCCTTGGATATTTCACTGGTAGCTCCAAAGTTGTCACAGCGAAAAAGGCCATCTATGCAGAGACTACGGCCAACTTCTGGGAAAAGTCTGCAGATGCAAACAAACACACAACGCCAGAGACAAAAGGTCCATACGAGCTTCTCACGCATACGCCATCCCGTGCAGCATTCCCACGAGGCTCTCTATTTGACGAAGGCTTCCATCTCCTTTTGGTCCTGGAATGGGATGCAGACCTTGCGCTGGAGGTGATGCGTGACTGGCTCTTCCTAATGGACGATGACGGCTGGATCGCACGAGAGCAAATCCTAGGCTTCGAAGCCGAAGCCTCTACGCCCCCAGAGTCCATCAATCAATTCCCGCACATTGCCAGTCCCCCAACAATGTACCTCGTCATTTCGAAATTCGTAAAGATGCTCAGGGGCACAATCAAGTACCACGGCCGCAACTCAGTCTACCTCTCCTCACCCGAAACCGGCAAAGCCCTCGTGATAAAAATGCAACCCCTCCTCAAACGCCACTACGAATGGTTCCGAAAATCGCAGTCAGGAGACGTAGAAGCGCACTCCATCCCCTCGGCCAACCTAAACGAAGGCTACCGCTGGCGCGCCCGAACCCCAGGCAAAAACACCGCCAGCGGTCTATCCGACTACCCACGCGCCGAACCCCCAGACCTCACCGAACTGCACCTCGACGCCCTCTGCTGGGTCGGCGTAATGGGCCGCACCCTCGAGCAAATCGCCTTCTTCACCGAAAACGCCCACGACGCATTCACATACCAAAAGCACGTACGCAGCATAAAACGCAACATCGACATCCTCCACTGGGACCCTTCCACCTCCCTCTACTGCGACTCCATTGTCCAAAACGGCCAACACAGCTTCACCTGCCACAAAGGCTACATCTCCCTCTTCCCCCTCCTAACCGGCCTTCTCGACCCCTCGCACCCGCATCTCCCCGCCGTCCTCGATTTAGTGCGCGACCCAACGCATCTATGGAGCCAGCAGGGGATCCGTAGCCTCAGCCCGCAGGACCCGCAGTATGGCGCCGAAGAAAACTACGCCCGCTCTTCTATCTGGGTGAATTTTAATTACCTACTCTTAGACCAGTTGCTCCGGCTTGCGCAGACCAAAGGTCCGGAGCAGGGGAGAGCGCATGAGAGTTATATTTTACTGCGTAAGAATGTAGTCAAGATTGTGTTTAAGCAGTGGCGTGAAACGCGGTTTGTATACGAACAGTACGATTCTGCGAGTGGGAAGGGGGTGCGTGCGAAGGGGTTCACGGGCTGGACGGCGCTCGTAGTGCTGGTTATGAGCATGCCGGATTTGGAGTCGCAGCAGGGGGTTGGCGGGCAGGTTAAGGGGTATGTGGAGGAGGTTAGGAAGCAGGCGGTGGGACATCCGAGGGTGGATGCTGGGGGTGTGGTGTTGGTTGTAGGGGTATTGGTGTTTGTTTATGTGACTAGGCGGCGGTTTGCGGGGACGTTGAGGGGTTTGAGAAGGAATTGAGGGAGGTAAGGGGCTGGAGGAGGGTGGTGGTGGATGGTTGGGTTGGGGTATTAGAGGTTCTGGTTTTTTGTGACTTGGGATTTATTGCTAAGCAGGAAACTAGAATAGGAATTTCGGCCTTTTTTTTGCGCGTTACACTTATTTGAGTACTTAAGCATGTGGTAATGTGCCGCACGAATTTCGCTCGTGACAATTGATCGTTAAGTCGGTTTCATTTTTTTTTACTTTCTAGTAACTAAAGATAACTTTCCATATTGATCCTCTGCATGAACTAGGCTTCCATTCGCATCGATCTTACTCAGCCGTCCGCAAAATTCATATCTGTGCGAGAATGCATCGCTCTGGAATGGCCATCACGTTTGCTCACAGCTGTATATGCCTTCCTGTCCCCGTGAACCCCCGCAAACTTGAAACTGTGATTATCCTGGTGTTGCCACTGAGTCCAGGGCTCAATCAAATTCCCACCTTTCCCTCACAGATAAACAACATTCTCAAATCTTGCGCTCAACAACCACGCGTCTACTCTTTGTGTGATCATCGCTGACGCAGTCAAGATCACACCATGTAACAACTTGGCCCGATCCCACCAGCCGGACTGCCAGCTTTTCCGCTTCCTCCTGCGACTTTTCATTCTGACTTCCCTTCTGCGTCACAAACGAGACCATGGCTTCGATGACGACTCTCCGAAACTTGCCATTCCAATATGGCGTCTAGGATTCCAACAAAGCTTCTTCTCGTTGTTTGTATGTCCAGCAATCCCAGTAGAGCTCCAGACACAGATCGGTTGCCTGCGCCTGCGCCTGCTTGAGAAGGCATAGGAAGTCACGTTCCCTATAATGGAAGTCGTTGTCAATCGTGCCTAATCTGTACAGCCAGTGGAAGTCCGTGATACCGTGCGTATGGCAGAGGCGAATATCACGGACAGCTTTTTTGAAAAAAAAAATGAGTGGGTTGGGCACTACTTTCCTTGTTTCGTCCAGCCTTGAAGTCGTGCCAGATGGCTTGAGAGTATGCATTCTTCCAATGAATTCTAGGGCTTCGTACAACATCTATTTGCAAGTTAACATCCATAATGGAAAGCCTCTGGTATTTTTTGAGTAACTTTCGTATCTCTCCTTTAGTAAGTGAGATGGGACACAAAGGCAGACACAAGATTTGCAAAAGAACTCCATCGCACGGCTCTTCTTGAAGATGAATGTGTAGATCTGATCGCGGATCTCCTGGGGTAAATTGAGGAAAATGTTCTGGGGCTGATCAGGTATGGAAGCGGCGGCGATCCTAGCGTCTTCGGCCAGCCGTCTACGCTTCATAGCGCGGGTGGTGATCATGTTGGCTGTTGAGAAGAGGTTGTGGTGGAGGTGGCTTGAAGCGAGAAAGGATTGGAGTGAACTTTTGACACCTTGAAATACTCCAGATTGATTGGAACAACCATGGCAGCAAGCGACGGCAAACACATCTACTGGGGGAACGGTAGTCATGAAAGAGCTACCTGTGCAGGTGCCAAGACGATACGCACTAGATAAATGAGACGTGTCTGTAATCATATTGCTATGATATCTTCTACTCTGACAGGCGTACACACCCAAAGCCATATCGTGAAGCTTAGAAAACTTCAAAAATCCACCTGGAACAAGCTCCAGGATCACCCCTTATTCATCCACCAATGGTCAAATGTACTGCTACATAAGAAGTGAAAGTTGCTTCCATGCGCCAGAGTTTGTTACTTGTAGAAACTGTTGGCCGTCGGGCGCTGTGGTTCCGAAAACAAAAGCCTCGGCTGACATGGAAGGCTGTCGCAAACTCCGTGTCCAATTCCACAAAAAAGAGAATAGACCAGGTCATTTGAGGGTGCGTAAAGATACATTTTGGGCACCGTCATCCAAAGTTGCGCCAAATGAGTGCAAAGGAATGGGAGCGCGCACGGTTCTGACGTTGCGAGAGCCCAATTATGCCTTGACAGGGCCACCCTGTGCGTCCTGGGAAATATCGTTCTCAAACTCCGAAGCCGAGGTTTCCCGGTTCAAGCTCGTCTCGCGGTGCAAGAATGTGTGTTCCTTGACGGGGCTGCTAGCCAAATCACCCTGCGAGGCAGCAGCGCTGTTGCCATTGCTGTTGACGGAGCCATTTTGCCCAATGGGTGTGGAGGGGGCGATGTGTGGGATCTTTTCGGGATTAGGATGCTCGCGACCGACTTGTGTGACACCGACGTCACCAGCCTTTCCGGCTTTGGAGAGGGCGTAGTCGCCACTGTCAAAGTACTTGCGCTCCTGTGGATATTTGTTAGACAAATGATTGGAGATTGGCATGTCTATGCAGGAAAGTAACGCACCTTGAGCTTGTTCTGGAGAAGGTCCTTCTTGTTGGGCAGCTTGCCGTACAGACGGAAGAGCTTGGCCTCCTGCTCTGACAGTTTCTATTCCTGTAGTGTTAGTCGTGGCCGTTTGCGAAAAAGAGGTATGCAAGGATTGGTATGACGTACGCTGACATCGACCTTGTTCTGCTGGTGCGGGTTCATGGTGGCGGTATTGAGAGTTGTATTGTTGTGGTGGTGTGAATTGTAGGCGATGATGTTGTCGGGAGGGGTAACTGCTTGGGAGAGATGCAGACAGAGGATGATACGAGCTCTTTATGGCGCCACAGCAAGGGGTGGGCAGGCGCAAGTTATTTTATAGCACAGTCGGGAACGTGTTGGGTTGGGTTGGGTTGGGTTGGCCAATTTGGGCGAGTACTGTCGAGGACGATGTGACAGGGACAGGGCGAAGGAAGTCTGGTGTGATTGCACGCCCTGACGATTGGGTGTCGAGACGAAGCTCGGACTTGGCTCGTTCGTGCTCCTGCTGCTGCTGCTGCCCACGGCCTGACAACGCACAACGGTCAGCGAGCTATGACTCGTCTGGTCTAGATTTATGGCTGCTGCAACGGCAGTGCCTGGAAGATGGATGTGGTGGTGTTGGTGGTGGTGGAGATGGGAATGCCCCTCTATCCAGTATGCGATAAGCCTTAGTCGCCCGAGGTGCCGAATGCGGGACGGTGCGCGTAGTCAATCGAGCAAAGAGACGACGAGCAGTAGACAGTGTGGCAAGAGAAGGATGTAATGCAAGTCACAGAGCAAGACAAAAAGGGCAGAACAGACGCGATTTATGGACAAAGGCGGGTGGTGGGCGTTGCGGTAGATGCGTGGGTTTAACGTTGGAGAGGCCAACCCGAGGAGGGGTAGATGCAGCAGATATGTATGTGTAGGCGTAGGCAATGCAGTGGGCCGGGTCCAGCGATTTCCAAGGGGCCTGGCTGGATATGACGGGTTAATTGATGCAGTAGACACAAAGCAATTCAGGGAAAAGAAGCCGTTGCCGCGAAGCCATGGTGCTTGGTCACTTAGTTACCCTCTGCCCTAGCCCACCAACCCTCTTGCGGCGTGCGGGTTCGAGGCACACGACGGATTGCCCCAGCCCTTACCACACTGAGCACCCGCACAACGTCACGCGCCACCTGACTTGGCTTCCCAAGCCCCTGAGACGGCTGAATGGAGATGCCGTCGACTATTCGCCTTGCCCTCGTTGTCCTTCTGTCATTGTATCATGGCAGTGGTGCGCTTTTGGTTGGCACCGCGCGACCATGCTTCCCCCCCGCATGTAATGGTGCATCCTGACTTTGCTCTGATAGGCGGCTCCGCTCTGCTAGTCTCGCCATCTATCAAATCCTGACGGTCACCCTCCCACCACCATGCAATCCGGCTAGCCAAGTGCTGTTGCAGGGCTCCGAATCTCACCCTCCGATCCGAACCCAAAGCAATCGTCGCTGAGGCGTCGAGCCAGACAAGGTCTGCCCCGCCCGTCGCGGTCCTTTTTTCGCTTAGCACATGCTGTGAAATTCCACGCCAGAAAACCACTGTAATACTCAGGCCACAGTCTTTTCCCCAACTCCCTCCAATCACAGGCAGAATGGCGAGCACTGGCAAGACTTTTGTAGTAGAGCATCTCGACCCGGAACTCGAGGAATGGTCGTCCTTGGAATACTCGGCCATTGCAGCAGAGTCCCACGCCTCGGGCGCTCAATTCTTGCTCTCTTCCGTCCCGACTTCCTTGACCTTGCCTGCCAACCTCCAGGGCGCCAAGGGGCTCCAAGTCGAGACTAGAGGAATCGAAGAGATATATGCCGACAAAAAGGACAAAGTATGCCTGCTCGATCCAGCGGCATCCAAGGACCTGAGCCCAGAAGACGGTGACACTTTTGACATTTTTCTCTTCGGCGGTATCCTGGGTAAGCACACGTGATGCCTTCAACCACTGTTGGTCCGAGTAGCCATGAGCTGACGCCGCCTAGGAGACGATCCACCTAGAGGTGTGTGATGCCGCAAACGCTGGGCAGTCTGCTCTCCGTCAGCTAACGGCCTGTATATAGACCGCACTTCAGAGTTGCGCAAGAAGGGATATCAAGGTCGTCGTCTAGGTCCAGTACAGATGACAACCGACACTGCAGTCCGTGTGACTAGGATCTGCGTCCAGGACAGGGGTACGTCATCCATGCTCGTCACAGATGCTGGTTTTGTGGATGTGAGATGCTCATGAAACGCAGTACCCGTCGACCAGATCCCATATATAGACCACCCAGATCTGAAGATCAACAAGAACGAGAGCACACAGATGCCGTTTCGCTATGTCAAAGGCAACGATGGACAGCCTATTATGCCCGAGGTACGTATTGCCGCACATGCAACGTTTCGGAGGCAGGATGGATGGCGCTGACCAGATCCTCAGGGCATGCGTGATCTGATCGTCAAAGACTCGGCCAAAAGTCTCAACGATCTCTTCTAGACAAGATGGGACCAATCCTCAGGCCCAGCCCCGAAGCCGCAGCCGCAGCCGGGGCCGGCAGCATGGGAAACATCCATGCGCCACTGTGGCACGCAGTGTTCGACGACAATAGACGCGTACCGCTTCCGGGAATGTTTGTTAGCACTGATGACAGCACTACAAGTCCTTCATAGGCTCCGTGGTGTAATTCTGGCTGGTGGCTCGAGAGCTCACAGCCAGACCCTGGGGAGACGGGCCGATTAGATGGCGACAATGCTCCAGAACCCTTTCCGCATGTCCGTGGCAAGGTAGTACTAGTAAGTGAAGTAGCATGGCGTCGACAGCCAAGGCAATCACAATTAGTAGTCGTCGCCTCGATAGTGCAAAAGAAGCCTTTGCCGTGAGCTTGCATGTTGCGAAACCCTTGGAATGCGGGATCGAAGCTGCATGTTTCCGTAACAGGCAACACGAGCGCAGCGACGCGTGTTCCAATGTCCGTGAACGCCAGCCTTGTGCAAGCCTGAGGCCAAAAGAAGAGGGTGATACGTGGTTGAAGCAGGTGGAACTGCCCAGGCGTATCAGATGCAGCGCGCGCTGCGTGTCTTTTCGAGACGCGGAGTTGGAGAGAGCCGGAGAGGGAGGCGCTGTGATTGGCTGGCTTACACTAAGGAACCACGGCCGATGCGCCAGAGAAGTGCTCGATAGCCATGTTCATATCCCTACTCGTACCGTGCTGTACTCTTGACCACTTATTTTTTTCCTCTGTCGCTGCAGCCAAACCAGCGGTCAAAGAAATCCCTTCTTTTGTTGCTTTGTTTTGCTTTTGCTCCTGCGTAGACTGTCTCGCGTATCTGAACATTACCGCCGTCGAGGCCTGGACTGCCCCCCTTGGTAAAGGACCCCGATTTACAGGGACCCGTCAGCCGCCCAGTAGCCACCTATCCTACATTCTTCATATCCCGACTTGTGCTACAACCCCGACAACCACACCCGACTGTATAATACCTCCTCGCACACTCCATCCACGCACTGCCCACGCTTCCCCACTCCCACCCCATATTCCCCCCGTCGGCCCATGTGGTAGTCGCAGCGCGCACCGCAACCTCCGCGGCCTTCCATCCCGACACGCACACGCGGCCCCAGTATGGCCTCCTCACATCCACCATCGCGATGGCGAACAGCCTTGCTCGGTGGCCTCATCGCCACCGTATCATGGCTACCCAGCATAATGGCAGCAGAAAAGACACAGGCCGACTACTTTGTGCGCAAACTTCCTGGTGCGCCAGAGCCGCTATTGAAGATGCACGCAGGGTAAGCACGCCGGCAATGGCAGGAACCATGGCCAGTCTAACCATCCTACAGGCACATTGAAGTAGACCCGCAAAACAACGGACATCTCTTCTTCTGGCACTACGAGAACCGCCACATCTCGGACAAACAACGCACAGTGTTATGGCTGAACGGCGGCCCTGGCTGCTCCTCCATGGACGGCGCTATGATGGAAGTCGGCCCCTACAGAGTTCGCGAAGGCGGCCACCTCGAATACAACAATGGTTCTTGGGACGAGTTCGCCAACTTGCTCTTCGTAGACCAGCCCGTAGGCACTGGCTTCAGCTACGTGAACACGGACAGCTACCTAAGCGAGCTTGACCAAATGGCTGAGCACATGATTACCTTTCTTGACAAGTTCTTCACCCTTTTCCCCGAATACGAGAACGACGATGTGAGTAGAGGAAATGTGGTCACACAGTGCTTTTTACTAACGCATGGCAGTTGTACATTGCTGGTGAATCGTATGCTGGACAGCACATTCCTTACATCGCCCGCGCCATCCTCAAGCGAAACAAGATCAATGCCTCCAAAAACCCATGGCCACTCAAGGGTCTCTTGATTGGAAATGGCTGGATTTCGCCAGTTGACCAATACCTCTCATACATTCCTTTTGCCTACCAGAACGGCCTCATGCAGAGCGGCACAGATTCGGCCAAGCGCATCGAAAGCCAGCTGAAAGTCTGCACCGAAAAGCTCAGCGATGGTGGCATGAACAGAGTGGATACACCAGAGTGTGAGCAAATCATGGTCAGGATTCTGGAAGAGACCAAGAACTTGAAAGCAGACGAGATGAACCAGTGCGTCAACATGTACGACATCCGCCTGCGCGACGACTCTTCTTGTGGAATGAACTGGCCTCCGGATCTTTCCCTGGTTACCCCCTATCTCCGCCGACCTGATGTCATCCAAGCACTCCACATCAACCCTGACAAAAAGACTGGCTGGCAGGAGTGCAACGGTGCCGTCTCTAGCCACTTCCGTGCTAGGAAGAGTGATCCCTCTGTCAAGTTCCTGCCCGAGGTTATTGAGCAGGTTCCCGTTCTGCTGTTTTCTGGTGACAAGGATCTGATCTGCAACCATGTCGGTACCGAGGCTATGATTCAGAACCTCAAGTGGAACGGCGGAAAGGGCTTTGAGGCTTCCCCGGGCGTTCAGAACGCCAAGTCGGATTGGATGTTCGAAGGAGAACCCGCCGGAACCTGGCAAGAGGCGCGCAACCTAACCTACGTCGTCTTCTACAACTCGAGCCACATGGTGCCATTCGACTACCCTCGCCGCACTCGAGACATGCTTGATCGCTTCATGGGCGTCAACATTGAACAGATTGGCGGTGCTCCTGCCAACAGCCTTATCAACGGCGAAAAGGGACCCCTGACGAGTGTTGGTGATCATCCCAACTCCACAAAGGCCGAAGAAGACAAGAGCAAGGAGCTCAAAGCAGCAGAATGGAAAGCCTACAAGCGCTCGGGAGAGACTGCCCTTGTCGTCACTGTTATTGTTGCATGTCTCTGCGCATTCTTCCTCTGGCGCAGTCGTCGCAAGAACGCTGAATATAAAGGTGTTGATGGCGGTGACGAAGGCCGCGAGTCCCTGCTTACCGGCATGGGCCTCGACAACTTCCGACGACGAGACCGGAGCCGTGATGTTGAGGCGGCGGACTTTGACGAGAACGAACTCGACGATCTGAACGGTGCGAAGAAGAAGAAGCATCCAGGCAATGGCTATTCTGAGAAGGGTCGTGGACCTACCAATGACTCATCTTTTTCCTTGGGTGCTGATAGCGATGACGACGATGAGGCGGGTTCTAGTGATGCTGGCAGGAGAAAAGAGGCATCTCGTT